GGGGGGGGGGGGGGGGGGGGGGGGGCATGTTCTAGTGGTGGTACTGGAGAGAAAAAAATTTTAGTCGGAAGTGAGATCTCTTCATAAGAAAACTGGAATTTTTCTTTAGAAGAATATTCTTATCCATTTTTCCTCGTTCTTTTCTCATTACAAAAAAATGTTTCACTGTAAAAAAAAATAAGTTTGAATTGAGTTAAAAATTATAGTACGGAAATTTTTCTGAATGGCACGTGTGAAAAAATTCAATGGAAAACTTAGCGAATTCGCTAGAGAGTTCTGTGGGAATTCTATAGGAATTCTATGGGGTTTCTATAGGATTTCTATTGGAATTCTATTGAAAAATACTATTCGTTTTTTGCGCTGATTCTATTGGATATTCGATAATATCAATAATATCAATAATTCTAATAGAAAAAATCTAAGAGAAAAATTCAAACAGAAATTTGAAATCTATTGACTTTTTCTTGTTGAATATCCAATAGCATCAGCGCAAAAAATGAGTAGAATTTTTCAATAAAATCTCAATAGAACTCCTATAGAATTTTCTAGCGAATTCCCTGGGTTTTCTATTGAATTTTTTCATGCGCGGGTGTACTAGAAAAGTTCGTCGATAAAGCGCTCAGCTCTTAGCTGAGTTTTCGAAGAATCTCTCCGAATCCACGGGAGACAGTCAATTTTTTATAACAACCTTTTTTGTAGCTCTTAATTCGCTCTACAAAAAAGGGTATAACAAAAATTTTATAACAAAAAACAAGAGTCAAAACAGATTTAAACCGTTTTACTCATTTCATTACAAACAAAATTTCATTATAAAAAAAAAATAAAAGTTTAAATTAAGTTGAAAATTGAAGTATGGAAATTTTATATTTTTCAATTTTTTTAATTTTCAATTTTCAATAAAGTAAACTAGAATTTTTAGAAACTCTCTCTTGTTTCTGTGGGAAAGTTTTCCTATATAACAATTGCAGCAAGGTTAAAAGAATGAAGATGGCTGCAATTACAGAAGCTTTTCTCTTCAAAAATATAATGGCACTGGTTTTAAAACAAAATAATCTGAAAAATAACCAAACACCTGGATATTTTTTTTGAAAATTCTAGTATTGGTACAGGATGGAGGAAAATATGAGGGAGTTGGGAGTGAGATTGAATTGTGTTTCCCTGAAACCAAAATCTCGACCCATTTGCGCTGGCGATATTTCGAGAAGAACTGCGAGGTCTTCCTCCTGTCAAGATTCCGCGGAGGAAAAATTGCGTTATGTTCCAACGTGTTCGTGAGTATTGATTATTGAGAAGTTGATGCAGCATTTGAGGAAAATAATTGTGCCCTCTCTTATTCAATATGAGGAAGTGATTATTGTCGTTGGTATTGTTTATTTAACGGTTTTTCCGCAAGGAATAATTATGTTTATGAGGAAGACACGTGTGGATGCTCGTCTGGCGGAGAAAAACAAGTGGAGAGTTCGTGCAACGACTACTTCGACGAAATTGCAGACGAAAATGAAAATTACACGGACATCGCGTGGAGAGATGAATCACCGGAGAAAGTGAGAATGTTTTCCGTAAACTTCATTACAACCACTCAAAACGTTTTAATAAATTTCCGAGTTACAGGGGCTAAAAAAACAATATAAAAGTTCTCGCACTCCTGCCGAGTCTGGGCATCATCGTTATCAGACGCATCGAAAAAGAAGTAATTCCTTCCTCATTTTATTTTCCCAACTCGATGTTTTCTTTTTTTTCTATCACACTGGAGAGATAAAAATCACTTTTTTACTACGAGATTCAAGGCGCGAGTGTGCAAATAAACATCGGAGAAATACCCTCAGGGTGCAACTCTCGCATCTACTGAGAAAGATAAAACCAACTCCAGAAAATTGTGTGCCTGATAGTGCGGAGACCAGACCGGAACCAGAAATCCTAGCGGAAGTCCTTCTTATGTCCGAACTTGAAGGCGCTGATCTCAGCTCTCTGAGCCCTGGCAATATATTTAACAAAGTTTTTGCAGAGTCATGTGATTTTACATCCGGCGAGGACGAAGGTATCATTTATTTAAAAAATTCTGCTGATTGTCGATTGAATGATACTTCGGAGAATTCAGATATCTTTTTTGGACAAAATGATTTTTAAATTTCCTGTAGGAATTTTTTAAAGAAAAATGTGTCCTGTAGACAATGAAATTTTTTTATTTTCCTGTGGGAATTATTTATTGCGATTTTTTCAAATCAAAATTGTGTTGTAGAAATTATTGTTTTATACCTGGATTTTTCTGTGAAAATGAAAAAAACGGGAGAAATATTTCGGTAGAAGAAAAATCGTCTTCAATTTGTTCACAGGAAAATTTTTCTGTAGATTAATTCATCCACACAATTTCTTTGAAAACCTAGTGAATTCGCTAGACAGTTCTGCCGGATTTCTATTGAATTGACATTAGTTTTTAGCCGATTCTATTCAAATGTTCAATAGAAAGTCAATAGAATTAAATTTTTCTGCACTCCTTATTCTATTGAGATATTTTCTATATAATATTCTCGTCTCAAGTTTCCAAGTTTTTCGTTTGATTTTCTTGACGAAAAGAAAAGAAAAAAAGAATGAAAAAAATTTGGAAAATTTGAGGCGATGAAATTCTATAGAAAATACCTCAACAGAATAAATTGTCCAAAAAAATCAAATTCTCTTGATTTTTGATTTTTTCTACAGAATTCTTCAATTTTTCTATACAACTTATTCTATTGAAATATTTTCTAGATAATTTTCAAATTAAAACGGCTCAAATTTTCGCTTGATTTTCGTGACGAAAAGAAAAGAAAAATAGAATGAAAAAAATTTGGAAAATTTGAGGCGATGAAATTCTATAGGAAATACCTCAACAAAATAAATCGTCCAGAAAAATCAAATTCTATCGAATTTTTCTACAGAGTTCTCTAGATTTTCTATTCAGTTTTTTCGTGGATACTGAATTCTCCCTAGGATCATTCCATCAGCTTCCCTCCAGGGCAAATCCACGGGAATGTTTATCCGAATAAATATACCCACAATCACTCGTGCAAAAAAAAATTCCACACGCTGCAGATTGTACAGATTTCTCCAATCCTATACACAACTCTGGGGATAAAGAAACCCACAACAAAACCGAGGAGACTATCTCACTAATAGAATCCAACGGCGAGGAAAATATCGACGCGGCTGTGGATGATACGTTGAGCCACGCCAATGAAGAATATGATGGCTCAACGCAATATAAAAGTCTCCGTCCTCCTAGAAATAAATTTCCGAGAATTTCCCAACCCTTGGGCTGTTCAACGTACGAATAACTCCAGCCAGATCAATAAGAAAACCCCCGAAAGTTTTAATATTTCATGACGACGTTATTCATATTTTCAGTCTCGTGGAAATACCCTCGGGGAATTTGAATGTGAGACTAAAAAATCACCGGCTGCCTGGCGAATTCGAATCCACCGGTAGAGTACAAATAAATGGCACCGCTAAACCCCTATGGTTTCCTGGATATCTCGTCATAAGCTCCATGCAACCAAATTACCTCCAGATAACTCCAAATCCGGAAGCTGCATTGTCTGAAATTTGGAGGCTCTGCAGACCCCAGAATATTCTACCAGCATCAAAACTCATTCTCGAATAAATAATACCTGGAGATTTTTTTAAATAAATATGGCTATTGCAGTTTAATTAAACTTCCGAATGCAAACAAAACTCATCTCGCAATTACGGGGATTTTCATAACTTTTCGAGGGGACGGCGCAGAGAAAAAATTTCCTGCTTTCAGGGAATATCTCTCTGTTTCGGGACATTTCGTGACGATAAAAATTAATGAGCGAAGAATTTCCAGTTTTTGTTACTGATGCATGGGAGGTTGGGGTAAAACGGACACTTAACTTTTTTTAAATGCTAATGAGGGGTTGAAATGTTAATAAAATTTAATATATATATTCTTTTCCTTTAAGACGAGCCTAAACTGAGCTCAATTGAGCAATTTGTTTCTGAGTTATGACTAATTTAAAAAAAATTCTAAAGTGTCCGTTTTACCCCATCCTCCCCTAATAATTACTATTTTTAGTTGAGGAAAATTTCCCTTAAGATGAGACAAACAATTTCCATTCAGAAGCCTGAATTTTTTTTGTAGTATTTTAGTACTTTTTATACATTTTTCTTTCTTAAATTTTAGTTTTCGATGAGGAAATTTTTTCGTAGAAAGAAAAAATCTCCTACTTTTCGGAGAACTTAATCATGATAAAAATTAATGACGGGAAAATGATAGAAAATGATAGAAAAATTGTCGACTCCTCAGCCTAATTTTGCATAAATTAATAAAAATTCCCCATTGAAAATCAATTTAATTCAATTTCTGAAATCAAATTAATTTAATTCAGTAGCGAAGTGGTAAAATGGTAAGTCGGCTCATCTCTTAGTTGAGTTTTTAAAGTATATCTCCGAATCTAAAGGAGATAATGAAATTATCGTAATAACTTTTTTTCTACAGCAAATTGAGTGCTACAAGAAAGGTCTTGACAAAAATTTAGCTGTCACCCTTAGATTCCGAGATATTCACTAAAAACTGGCCAATTGTCAAAATCGATTTAAACCGCTTTACCACTTCGCTACTGAATTATATTTCTAGTTGTGATAATTCTATAAATTTGATTTCCGATTTAAATGTGTTGATATAATCTCAATTCAATGAATGCAAGCCCTGAATGAAAATAACTCCCCTAAACTTGAAAACATTTCTCACTTGCCTTCAGTAATTTTTAAACTTTACATCACAGATATTACCCCTGGAATAAATCAAGTAAAAAATTCCTTATCTCAAGCCGACAATATTTTTCCATAAATAAAAATTTCTCTCTGTCAAGAAAACTCGCACGAAACAAACCATTGCTCTGGTAATAGTGTGAGGGGGCAGAGCTTCACTAATCGATGTACGTGCCTCGTCTACCACCACAGAAAATTCTCCAAGAAGCAAAACTCAGGAGAGAGTTATCGAGCACCTCCATTCGGATACCCCTCGAGTCACGTAGCATGACCCAAAAACGTGACTAACCCTTATTCTTACGCCGAAATAGGAAGTATTAAGAGAAAAAAAAATATATCACTAGGAATCTTCATGGAGAAGCAAATCAAAGAGAATATTCCACTGGCAGAGGAATGTTGGGATCTTCTGGGAAGCTGTCGTAAATGCTGAGATATTTGTTCGGATTGATTATTTTGTAAAGAATATTAAAAGAATTTCCGATTTACATTGATTACGGTGTAAATATACTAAACGAAATTAAAAAATAGTAAAATAACTGATAATATAAATTTGGAATTGATGACAAATTAAATATGAGACCATCATCAATCATCATCATCGATCATCGGTTGTCTTACTTATCAAATTTCTTATAAGAGATTTTCAATTATCCAAATAACCACCGATCTTAATTAAATTACTGATTGATAAATAATTCGGAATTTGATTATTCAAATTGATGATTACTTCAATAACTAGAATTTAAGAGTAATATTAACGAATCGACTACTTATAATTTAATGGTAATTATAATTTATGGATATGGCTATCCCTGATTCCAACACATTTTTTTGGAAATTAAGGATATCAAGGATATCAATTCCGTCATTCAAATTACATTTTGTACGGAATTATTATTTTTTCAAACATTTCTTATTTAAAAATGAATAATTGAAATTCTTTAAACTTCCAGAAACCTTATTTTTTAAGTTCTGAATATGAAGAAATTTGTTACGACTCCGAACTTCTATTACGATTTTTACGGCGACAAATTAATTGTTTATAAATTATTTATAGAACATGCTCGTAATTTTCAAAAATTGCACACGGAGAGAAATTGTTTAGAAAAATTCTAGTGCTAGCACGGGAAAAGAGGCGCAAAGTGACGGCCAGGAAAAAATTCCAGTGCCGGCACTAGAAATTTTATTGGGGAAAACGTGAATTTTTCCCCGCATTTCTGTGAAAATTTCACAGGAATCCCCAGAAATTTTACCAGAAATACCAAGAAATTTAACCTTAATAGCACTACAATGTTCCACAGCCGGTGGATTGTAATTTTTTCCAGTACCATTACCAGAATTTTTCTAGAAAATTTCTCTCCGTGCACTTTTTTAATTTTTTCATAAATCTTCTTCCAAAAGTAAACTTTGAAACTTTGTAAAATGTCTGGACACTTAGTGTTGAATGGAGCTCAGCTGAAAGCTCTGATGTTTGACTACAAAAGTAGAAAAGCGTTTCACTGTTAAAAAAAATCGAATAAAAATGAATGAATAAAGTCATGAATAAAATTGATGAACACCAAAGGTTTCAAAAGTTGTTCAAAACGCTGTAAAATCTAGAAAAAAAATTAAGAAAATGGGAAGGAGAAAATGAAAATTTTACGTTCAATATGGGCATTATCGTCCGCCCCCTACATTTGTGATAAATTTTACAGAGTTCGTTCATTCAACTTTAAAACCCCATAAAAGAGAATAAAAAATCCAAAATACTCCTCTACAGTCCAACTTTCACCGGAAGTATCGTATAGATGATAACAACTCAGGGGTAAGAGAGAATCTACAATGATTGTGATCGGAAATGACACAAAGGCAATAGGAAAGAGAGAGACGGATGAAGGGCTGAATTGATCAACGGAAGGAAGCAGGAAGTCACTGGGGAATCAGTATACCCTTTGGCATTGTTTGAAATCTGCGAATAGGATACAAGCCGATGAAGTAGGGCAACTGAAAAAAAAAGAGCACGAGGAAAGCCATAGGGAGAGAATGAAAGATATGGGCAACTAGAGAGGGGAATGGAAGCACCCACTAGTCCTCCAACTGACAAATGGTTGTTTACAATGGATTCGCTGGGAGCTTTTGCCTGCAATTGTATTCCGACTGATGTAAGGGGGTGTAAATTTCTCTGTCTTCACGGGACTGGTGAATTTTGCATTGTTCATTTCATATCGCAACAACGGGGGACTAAGGACGAGTTATGAAAAGGAGTACGAATAGAACAGGAGATATGCATCTTGGTATTACGGAGTTGCGATACGATGGAGAGTTATTGGGGAAGTCAAGACGCTAGTTTTAAATTATTTATTGAGGGTGTGAACGGAGATATTGTAACGGATCGGGGAGATAAACTGCTCCATCGATCGAGTACATTTTTTCAGGATTTTGGAGAGAGCTATTTGTCAAATTCGTTTTGATGAAATGGAGAAAAATATTCAATTCTAGGTTTTAATAAATCTAGAATTTAATTAATTCAGGAGGTAATTTTTTGAAGAGTCAGTAGCGAAGCGGTAAACCGGGTTAAGTCAAAAAATGTGATAGTGACTGTCCTTTTGTGAATTTAATCAGACTCAGGTACGGATTTCGTTCAATATCGAGAGAGATTTTAGCATAAGTTGTAACTTGTGCAGACTATTTTTTAACAATTTTTATCGACTTAGCTCGGATTGTTTTCTACACTCGAAGAGTTAAGTCGCTGGGGTTTCTTGATTTTCCCCTCCAACCGAGTTATGTCGATTTAAACCGCCACTCAGTAAAAAAAATCGATTGAGAAACCATCAGGTAGATGAATTTAATTAATTTTCCTTCATTATAAAATCATAATAAAATTCTATAGTCGGTAAAGTGGGAAAGCTAGAAATCCAATTCTTTTATTCAAACTACTCCAATTTAAGGAGAATATTAAGAATACCCATTGAACCCATATAAAAGGAGCTAAGACGACTTAGCTCATTTTTAAGTAATTTATATAATTTTTAATATTAAATTTTAAAATTACATAATTTATATAATTTATAATTTTATCAGAACGTCTATTTGTGCCCCATTTCACCCTGGGTCATCGAACGATCCGCAATAATATCATTATTCCAACTTTGAGAGTTTAAATTTGATTCTTTTGAAAACAGAATGAAATTGATTTTGAATTTTTGGGAAATGATTGTACAATCACAAAAGCGTTGAAAAAAAGCTGAAAATTTTTAAAGCGCGTTTTTGAATAATATTGGAAAATAAACCCAATAGAGAGGAAATAGAAAATTAATCATTTGATGTATCTAATGGCTTTAAGGTCGTAATTTGTTACAGTAGTCAATGGCTGTGGGATCGTTATTTACCATGATAAATTATCAATTCACTATTTCCTCTTTATCGGTGTTACGTGGGAGGTTTTCTACCTCCCTTAATTGAGTCGCCGTTCGACTCAAAACTATGCTCAGCTAGCTATACGGTCAGAGCTCACGGGGAGTTCGCTCAGATTCAACGTGACGCGACTAAGAGGAGGATCGGGATAGGTATAGTATATTCAAATAGCCGAACACTACCGATCTATTAATAATAAACAGTATATTATATAGATGAGTTACAAATCAACTGTTTAACGGGTTCGGTTTTTACGCGGGTCTGCTATAGATTTTTGGTCAGGAGTAGACATCCGTCCAACTTTAACTCCTGCCGTACTCTAGAGCTTTGGAGCCGTTGCTAGCTCGAAATGCTTAATAAGCATTCTCACGGTTTTTCGTAACTAACACAGCCATATGTCATCACTGACAATGGCTACAACAGTCAAACAGCTCCATCCCAAGAAGCCGAACTCAAGTGTCACCGTGGGACTGCTTATTCAGCCCAGACATTTTTGCCTTAATTTCATGATAAAATATTAACTAAACAAAATCGACGTGTCAATATCTCCACACGTCACATCGGGCTTATTTTTTAATCTTTATTAAAAAAGCTCTTTGAAAATATTAATTTTTTCTACTTTTTTTGATTGTACAATGATAATTTTTAGGGACTCCTGCGTGATGTAAAATCCAATGGAAATCGCGATATATTTTACATTACGAAGATGGAAAAACAGTCGAGATGACGTTCGAAAGATAATCCACCCGGGCCTTAAATCAATTTCCATTAATTTAAAAACCTGTGAACCATGAAAAAATGACTTTGGAATTGTCGAAAGAAAAATACCGCTTGCTCCTTGCTTGCTGCAATTGAAGGAGAATTAGAAACCGAATCACCGTCTGAGAGGAATCAATCGATGACAAACGGTGAATGGATGAATGCCATTAATTATAGGAGACGATTGAAGGTTCAGTAGCCAGTGATCTGATAATTGTCATTGATTTAACCCAATGGCATCCCAATTATTGAGGAGATTGTGCCTCAAACGTGTAGTCAACTGGATTTCAACTATTTTGAATTCTCCAATAGGATGCAGAATTGGGGTTTAATGAATTTAAATCAATAAAATGAATTGGACACTGGAATGCACGACTCGGGGGGCAGTTGCAGACATTTGGGGACAAAGCCGTGCTTGAGAATTATCCCGGACGTGAGGTGTTCTCCTGAGTCAACCTCACCAGTGAAAAAACAAACCAGTGAAATTTATACCCCCATAGTGTGTTGGTAAAGCTCAGAAAGGAAGGCACGACAGAACCAACTACGTTTGCACTGTGTATTTCCACGCTTGAAGCAAATTAATTTGACCCAAATATGCTTCCTCAGAGTTACAAACCTCATGTGGAACTATATATGGGAGTTTCAAGTAATGGTGAATGCTGAAGGGGTGCAGCAGGAGGAATACTATGAAACTTTAGCGGCAACCCCTATTCGCGGGGTACATTTTCACTCGTTCTACCCTCTGTCGTCGTCTTGCCTTATGCCGAGTTTTCCTTCCGTTTATGGTAGAATAAATAATAGGGCGCGCTGTCACTAATTTTTTGCTGATATTTACAGGTAATTTTTTGGAGAGTTTTATCAAGTGACGGATCTACTGAAATTTTGAGGAATTTTGACATTGGAAATTCACTATTTGATCGAGTCATCAGTGTATTTTGAAATGTTGTTAGTTATTCTTCACACGATTAGTTATTAGTTAGTTATTATTCACACGATTAGTTATTCTTCACACGAAATTTTGGTCAAGTGACAATTCCACTGAAATTGGAAGGATTACGTCTATGAAAATTCACAATTTCATGAAAAATTCAATGGAAACTGTAAATTTCAGTTCAATTATTTCTTGAAAATGGATAGATATCAGGGAAATGCAGGGATTTATTCTTGAATTTTAGATTGATGGAAAATTCAAGTGAGTTGGGGAATTCTCGTCAAAATTAGGAATTTCAGTCATTAAAAACATATTTTCGAAAAATTCCACAGCCAATTTTTAGTTTCATATTTGAAAAATCATGGCCAATTGAGGATATCCAAGTATCGCTTACAGTTTGGTACAGACTACACTATAAATTAAATCATTTTGCAATGTTTTCAAACATTAATTGTTTGCAAATAAATAATTTAAATTGTTTAAATTTCCGGAAACTTTATTTTTTTCAGCACCAAATTAATTTTTGCTAAAATTCTGAAAATTAATAAATTTCTTACGACCCCGGTCAAATGATTTTCAAGGTGGCAAATTGATTGTTTATAAATTATTTATGGACTAGGGGGTTTCGCCCCCTGCTCGCTCCGCTCGCCAATCCGGGGGGCTTCGCTCTCCCCGCTCGCTTCGCTCCCCCCCCCCCGTCCGTGTGACCGCAG